GATCTTCTCACCTTCCAAAAGGTTACGATTGCTCAACATCTCCAGTCTACGTGCGCTCATATGTCCTAGTCTCATGTGCCATAGTCTTGCCTTATCATCATTAGATAACTGCACTGTAGATGCATTTGTAGAGCCAACAATGGTGCTTCCGGCCAATGTGTAAAGGCCGTTCTCCAGCTTGCCTTTCAGCATGACTAAAGAACCTTTAATTACCTTTATAGTTCCTGCTTCACTCATGTACCTGTAGCCTTGTTCATCAAGAGTACTCAGGGAGATCAAATTCTTCTTCAGATCAGGAACATGATGGACTTGTGTAATAGTCCTCACGACTCCATCATGGCAGCGAACTCGAACTGAGCCAATGCCAACTATTGCACACGTTGTATTATTGCCCATTACTACAGTTCCTCCACTTTTCTCATAGCTGCTAAACCAGTCTTTTCGGAATGTCATATGCAGAGTACAAGCAGAGTCTAACACCCATTTATTTCTATAAATACTATTATTATTACACGATGTTATTAATACATAATCATTATCAAAATCATGTACATGTTCAACTGTAGATGCATTCGCTTTTTCCTTGGACTTTGACATTGGGCAATCTCGTTCAAAGTGCCCCTTCTTGCCACAACCCCAACACTCTGTATTCTTCTTGTTCACATGAGACTTTTATCTGTGCTTTGATTTGCTCTTTCCCTGTTGGCTAGTCCGGCCTCTCACAAAGAGCCCACTTGCCTGGTCATATCTATCTCCTTCAATGTGCCTTCGCACATCACTAGAGTTAAGTGCCTGTTGTACTTGCTCAAGCTTGATAGGATCCTTGCTATACACCATTGAATTCTCAATATCACGATATCCTGAAGTCAATGAAAATAACAAAGCACATGCAAGCGTCTCCTCCTTCTTTTTAATTCCTGCAATCTGTAAGTCAATGACAAGTTTATTGAACGCATCTAAATGATCTTGTAACGAAGTACCTGACCTCATCTTGAATGTGTGAAGACGCCGTTGTAACAACATCCTTGTTGTCACTGATTGGTCTTGGTATAGCCCTTCTAGATTTTTCCATAACTGTTTGGCTGTCTCTTTGGTACCCGTACTCACTTCACAAAGCACGTTAGGTGCAAGGGATAGTTGGATTGCACCCAATGCATCCCCTTCAATCTTCTCCTTTTCAGGAGCTGATATAACCTTAGGATACTTTCCGTCAATAGCATGGATTAAACCTTCCCTCCACAGTAACGCCATCATCTGGATCTTCCAGATATTAAAGTTGTTGTGTCCACTAAATATATCAATTTCAAACTTCATGGAACTCATCTTTGCTTGTTCTTCCTCCTTGGATCATTAAAGAATCATGTCGCTCTGATACCAATTGTTAGCGGAAACGTAAAAGAAAGAACACAAGATTTAATGTGGTTCAGATCAAAATAATCCTACGTCCACCAGAGAACAGTTGCCTTTTTAATATTAACAAAGGAAGGGGAGATTTTCCAATTACACTTAAGAGAATTTCTCTCTTAACTCTCTACTCACTACAATGTATTGTATTATTTTTGGGATGACTTCTACAAATGAAGGAGTGCATCTATTTATAGAGGTAAATACTTCCTCTTGATGTCATTGGTGACATCAAACTACCTCCGCTTGATGTTATGGGTGACATCAAAGGAGGAAGCTTCCTCCTAGCATCCACACCAACTCTTTCCACCAACTCTTCCAATTGGAATGCCATTGTTGACTAAACATAAACCAACACTTTCAGGTGCTAATTAGGAAATTCAACATATAATTTTTTGTAAGAGTTTCTAGTCAAGCCCCAGTGTTGAGCGTGAGACATTCATGGTGCACAGTCGGGCATTTGAGGTGTAAGCATAAAAAAATGTAACTAAGCCCCTCACATGAACCCCAGGATGTTTTACAAGTGTCTCGTTCAGGGGCAAACCCTAAGCGAGTCTTAAAAAACCTTTTAAAATGTTGTTAGTAACTTCACAATTTTCTTATTATTATATATTATTTGAAATATTCGTAGGTATGATAAAGATAAAATAGGACAAAGGGTGAAGTTTTACAAAAATTAAGGATGGTAAAAATATATTAAGTGATAAGAACAAAATGACAGTTGCATTTTTTAAAAAAAAAAGACAATTGCTTTAAATATAAAATGCAAAACATTTTCCCAAATAGGAAATATTGGGGGGGGGGGGGGGGGAAGAAAGAAACAAGTAGAAAAGAAATACATGCTTGTTTGGGAGAATGTAAGCTTGATAAGTCTGTTCCCCTTATATAGAGGCTATACAATTATTGAATCCATAGTGTGTCTTTGCAAGTTACAGCCTAGAGGAGTATATAAAGTGGCAGTTCTGTTCCAAGTAAAAAAGTAAATGATATCTAAGCCACGTGCTGATCTTAGCATATCTATAATTTTTCCAAGCAAACCAATGTTTTTCTTGAACTATCAGAACTACCAATCTTGAGAAATATTCTGCATATGTTTTTAGACGAGACACCTTAGAGAAGTGATTAAAACATACAACATTAACTGGATTGAACCTATATTAGCTTAACAGCATATCAACAAGTCATCTGCAAAGCAATATATACCCTCATCTATCACAACCCAAAATTTACTAATCGTGATGATACCTAACCCAACCTGTTAGGTAAGCTAACCAATAACTATTCAATTTCAATATTGCTAATAAGTCAATTAAACAAACTAAATTATCTGAATCTATTACATTTATCAAAGACTGGTAGTACAAATTATGAGCTTCTAAGAATAGAGTTTACAAAGCTGACATGAAAAGAATACATCTTCTGTTTGAACAGTACATAAACAAATTTTTATAATCTAAGGCTACCGTGAACAAGAGGCAGGTACAACAGGAACGCATGCACGCCTTCAAATCCAGTAACCATCGAACGTAGCAACATCGGCATCCGGGATCTGCACACACTGTGCAGGAAGTGCAGTATGAGTACAACCAACCCCATGTACTCAAAAAGTAACAAACCTAAACTTAGGTTAAAGGCAGTGACGAGCTGGAACATTGGTCGAGTCCAACACAAATAACCAACAGCAGGTCATACAACGTAGAGCATATAAACAAGGAAATAATCTCTAAGGTAAAAATGTTCAGCTTTTGCACAAATTTTTGAAAATAGTTTCGCTTTTCAGGAATATTAGTGAAAATCCAAATCCTTTATCGAAATCATCGAAAAATTTAAAGATAGTTTGAAAATTATAATTTTTTTCCTGAAAGATCCTTTCCACAATAAATAAAAATATTTCATTTCCTTTCCAAATAACCATGTGAAATGCCATTCTATGCCCGCATACCAATGTGTGTAAAAAGTCATGAATGATGTGGTATAGTACAACATGAGGAAAATGTATCTCTATACATTTATGTCATATATGCATGCCAATGTCATGTATCTCAGAGATGTATCATGTGCTCACACTCTCAGAGTACTCAATCTCATTATCTCACACTTTCCACTCATCATACTCAACCACTCAGTACTGTATATGGCCCATATGACCCAAGGAAGATCTATCCTGAAACATATACAACACTGACTATAAGTCACCCAGCACCAAGGAAAGGCCATTCCGACTCTATAGAGAAGATCCATCTCCAGGTATATATATAAATGTTCAACTACTCAGTACTGTATATGGCTCACACGGACAGGGAAGTTCCATCCGGAATATATACATTACCGACCACCAGTCTCCAGTACTGAGGAACACATGCCTATCCAGCCTCATGGAGAAGATCCATCTCCATATCAAGGGAAGATCCATCCTTGAATATAATCAACCGCGCTCACTGGGGGTGTGCAGACTCCGGAGGGGCTCCTTCAGCCCAAGCGCTATAACAAGCCAATCATGGTATAAATCAATCAGGCCATCAGCCTTACTCAATAGTCAATAAAACATGCTGCGACATGCAGCCTGATCCCATAATTGTCTCTCATAATCAGACTCTCGGCCTCACTCAGCCATCAATCTCTCCAGTCTCACCCACGAGCTCACAATGTCATGAAAACTGACCCGAAACAATGATATGATGTATCAATAAGTAACATTTGAGACTGAGATATGATATGAATGTATGAATGTGACCGAGTGCGAAATATCAATAAATTCAATGAGATGACAACAAGAAACGATCACTATGGGTCCCCAACAATATCCGCATACAGCCTAAACATGATATCTAGCATGATGTACATCTCAGTTATTTTATCACATGATGAAAATACATATATCAATAAAATAGATCCACTATTTAGTGCCTTGGAAATAACAGACTCACAAATCATAGGGTGCACGCCCACATGCCCGCCATCTAGCATGTGGGTAACCTCAACATTAATCACATATCACGTAATTTGGGGTTTCATACCCTCAGCATTAAGTTTAAAAGAGTTACTTATATTAAACAAGCCAATTCAGATATCGAACAAGCCAATCAATGCTCCAAGAATACCATCACGCACGTAGTACCTCTGAACGGCTCAAAACTAGCCAAAAGTAACTCAAATACATCAGATAAAGCCCAAGGAATCAATTACAATTGATAAAGATCGAATTCTACATCAAATCCCAATTTTGGCCAAAAATCACACCCGAGCCCACGCCTCGAAACTGGACAAAACTCACAAAATTCGATAGCCCATTCAATTACGAGTCCAACCATACTAGTTTCACTCAAATCCGACTCCAAATCGGTGTTCAAAACTCAAAAATTCATATTATGAAACTTTAGGCCAAAACCCCAAATTTCCTCTTTCAATTCATCAACCAATTGTTAAAAAGGAAGATAGATTCATGAAATATAATCAAAACTGAGTGTAGAACACTTACCCTAATCCTTGCGATGAAAATTGCTTCAAAAATCACCTCAATCCAGGTCCCACATCTCAAAATATGAAGAAAGAACAAAACCCTCGATTTTTATAACTCTGCCCAGCACTTTCCTCATTTGCGGTAAAATTGTCGCATCTGCGATAAAACTCCGCTTCTGCGAAAATAACATTGCCAGAAATCCCCCGCACTTGCGGATGCCGAATCGTACGCGTTTCCAAATTCCGCATCTGCGCGCACGCAGGTGTGCTTCAAAAATTCGCTTCTGCAGTCTTCCTCACCCAACCACTTCTCACTTCTGTGACTATTGCACCTGCGCAAATCAGCCGCAGGTGCGGTCATACCAGAACCAGAAACCTTCAGCTATGCAACATGAAATGAAATAATCTGAAATCAATCAGAAACACGCCCGAGTCCCCGTCCAAACGTACCAACAAGTTACATAACATCACGCGGACCTATTTGAGGCCTCAAAACACATATAACAACATCGAAACGATGAATCACACCTCAATTCGAAATCATTGAACTTTGAAACTTCAACTTCCATAACTGATGCCGAAACATATCAAATCACGTCCGATTGACCTCAAATTTTGCACACATGTCATATTTGACATTACGGACCTGCTCCAACTTCCGTAATTGGAATCTGACCCCGATATCAAAAAGTCCACTCCCGATCAAACTTTTCAAAATTTTAACTTTTGCCATTTCAAGCCAAATTTTACCACGGACCTTGAAATCACAATCCGGAGCTTCTAAGTCTAAAATTATCCCACGGAGCTAACAGAACCATCAAAAATTCAATCCGAGGTCAAATTCTAAAAAGTCAAACTCGGTCAAACTTTTCAAATTTAAAGCTTCAAGCTGAGAATCATTCTTCCAAATCAATTTCGAATAACCTGAAAAACCAAAACCGACGATTCACATAAGTCATAATACAGCATACAGAGCTACTCATACTCTCAAACAACCGAACAAAATGCAAATGCTCAAAACGACCGGTCGAGTCATTTCATCATCCTTTCAGACCTAGGGTGGTAGTTGAAATTAGGCAAATGCCTTAGTTGCTTTAGGGACTTGTGTAAATATTATATAGCTAAGATAAAGAGATAAAGAGACATGAGATCTCTTTGCCTCAGACCTTTCTTTGCTTGAATTTTTTGGTTGAGACCTCCATTAATCAGTGGGTTGTAGCTCACAATTCTCACACATTCAACTAACAAATTTAACAAGAAGGCCAAACTCCAAAAGAACTATTCTTAGATAATTCTGCTCTACATAGTTATATGCCTTTCTTATGTCTACCTTAATCAGGTACCTGGATGAAATAGAGTAACCTTAAACTAATCCATGTGCAATGATCACATTATCCAAAATATTTCTCCCTTCAATAAAAGCTGATTGGCCTACTGGAAAATCAACTACTATTTAGAGC